ACTGAATATTTTGAAGAACTACAATAACACAACTTGCTTCAGCATAAAATTCCATATTTTCTAATTCAGTTTTGAACCTCAATACCAGAGAGACTTTATTATGACACGGTTTTACTCATACATCAGGAATGGTGAGGAAAATACAGAAAATGTAAATCACTATAATCTTATCATCTAAAGAAAGCTGCCCCAGCTACTCAGGAGGCTGAGGCAGGAGAATTGCCTGAACCCAGGAGGCGGTGGTTGCGGTGAGCCGAGATTGCGCCATTGCACTCCAGCCTGGGTAACAAGAGTGAAACTCCAACTCAAAAAAAAAAAAAAAGAAAAAAAAGAAAACTGCTGTTGATATTTTAGTGTTTATACATTTGTTCCCTTTAGAAAATGAGATCATGGGCTGGGTGCGGTGGCTCACGCCTGTAATCCCAGCACTTTTGGGAGGCCGAGGCAGGCAGATCACCTGAGGTCAGGAGTTTAAGACCAGCCTGGCTAACATGGTGAAACCACATCTCTACTAAAAATACAAAATTAGCTGGGTGTGGTGGTGTGGCACACACCTGTAATCCCAGCTACTCAGGAGGCTGAGGCAGGAGAATCACCTGAACCTGGGATGCGAAGTTGCAGTGAGCCAAGATCACACCATTGCACTCCAGCCTGGGTAACGGAGTGAGACTCCGTCTCCAAAAAAAAAAAAGAAAATGAGATTATGTTGTTTTATAATTTGCTCTTTTTATTTAGTTAATTTATCACGAACAGTATTCTATGTCATTAAATACTCTTCCACAGTATCATTTTCAAAAAGCCAAATAGAGTTTGATTTTTCTAAAATAACACAAATTTCATAGATAGGCAGATCAAAGCTGGTCCAGCAGTTCAATGATGTTATCTACTTTGTAGTCTTTAGTTTCAGTCTACACTTTCATAGTGGGAAAATGGTTGCTTCACCTCTACCTTTCCAACTCTTCCCCTCTCTCATTGTTTTGGCTGTCTAAGACTTATTCTTATTACAAGAAAAACTTGAGACTGTAACATCCCCTCCTGCCTTACTGGGAGGGTGCCAAGTGACCAAAGTGCCAAGAGGCCAAAAATGATTTGGATAGGTCCAGCATGGCCAGTAGGTGAGTTTATTAGAGCTTACCTATGGAGCACTCCTGGGCAGCAATAGGACAGATTTAGGGATCTACCCACCTCCCATTTCTAAGCTGCTTTTAAGCTAGTTTTCTCGCTCTTTGCCTACTATATGCATGTGATAAGACTGTTTTCCTTGGTTGGGTCTCAGATGCTCTCTAAAATCTTTGGTTCTCAGGGACCAAAGCTTGCTCCTCAGTGGGCACCATGGCTTTGGCTCACTGCCTGGCCTTCAGAGTTCAGGCAGCGGACATACACCCTTGAATAACCTGGTGGTGGGGGACCCACCACACTACACTTCTCCAGTAAATTCTTTAGAAGGGGCCGTTGGAAACAATATTCTCTAAATTCTTGAATGTTGAAAGCAGGTTGTGGACATTATAATTAAAAATTTGTTTGACAGGATATAAAACCTTTAGTACACATTTTGTTTCAAGTTTCTTAAAAATATATTATCCCTTTTATTTCTGGCGTGAAGCATTGCTGAGACAATGCCTAATGATAGTCTAATTTTTTTCCTTTATATATGACTTCATCTTCTTACTTGGATGCCCAAAGCCTTTTTTTTTTAAAGTTCAATACGTTTACTAGAATATGTGTTGGCATTGGTCATTCTGCCTCAGTTGTTTCAGGTATGCAGTGCACCATTTTTTCTTCTTCTTTCTTTTTCCTTCTTTCTTCTTTCTTCTTCTTTTTGTTTTTTTGTTTTTTGAAATGGACTCTTGCTCTGTTGTCCAGGCAGGAGTGCAGTGGTGCAATCTTGACTCTCTGCAACCTTTACCCCCACTCCGGGTTCAGGCGATTCTCCTGCCTCAGCTTCCTGAGTAGCTAGGATTACAGGTGCACACCACCATGCCCAGCTAATTTTTGTGATTTTTAGTAGAGATGGCGTTTTACCATGTTGGCCAAGCTGGTCTTGAACTCCTGACCTCAAGTGATCTGCCCACCTTAATCCCTCAAAGTGCTGGGATTACAGGCGTGAGCCATCGCGCCCAGCCCACAGTATACCCTTTCAATAATGCTGTTTCAAAAAGAATTTTTTAAAGCATCTAATTACTTTGTGTGTTTTTTCTTTTCCCCCCGAGATGGAGTTCCACTCTTGTCGTCTAAGCTGAAATGCAGTGACGCAATCTCGGCTCATTGCAACCTCCGCCCCATGGGTTCAAGCAATTCTCCTGCCTCAGCCTCCTGAGTAGCTGGTATTACAAGCGTGTATCACCATGCCTAATTTTTGTATTTTTAGTAGAGAGGGTTTCACCTTGTTGGCCAGGCTGGTCTCGATCTCCTGACCTCAGGTGATCCACCTGCCTTGGCCTCCCAAAGTGCCTGGAATTACAGACATGAGCCACCATGCCTGGCCTGGTTTTCTTTTTTGGAAACTTCTGTTATGTCCATGTTGAATCTTTGCCTTTCTTTTTTGTTGTTATTTTCTCTCAAATTCTTATCTCCTCTTAATTTCCTTTTGATTTTTCTTTTTAAACTTTTATGTCTCTTAAAGTATACCTGTATGTTTACTTATGTTTTTATTTATTATGGCTAAGTCTTCATTTCTAAAGTGATCTTTTTTCTTTTTTTTTTTTTTTTTTTGAACCGGGTTTTCGTTTTTTTTACCCAGGCTGGAGTGCAATGGCGCGATCTCGGCTCACCGCAACCTCCGCCTCCTGGGTTCAGGCAATTCTCCTGCCTCAGCCTCCTGAGTAGCTGGGATTACAGGCACGCGCCATCATGCCCAGCTAATTTTTTGTATTTTTAGTAGAGACGGGGTTTCACCATGTTAACCAGGATGGTCTCGATCTCTTGACCTCGTGATCCACCCACCTCGGCCTCCCAAAGTGCTGGGATTACAGGCGTGAGCCACCGCGCCCGGCTCTTTTTTCTTGTATTATAATTGTCATCGCATTTTCTAAGGTTTTCTAATTCTGATTTATGTTCTTGTTTTATATCTTTTGACTGGTTTTGAAAAAGTAGGTTATAGTTTTTATCTCACATGTAGTTTTATCTGTCTTATGATCTTTTGTAATCAGTTTTATAGTCACTTTTTTTCTTACATAACTTTGTGTGGGATTTGACCCTCTGTCCTTTTCTGTTGCTCATTTTTATGTGAAATTAGTTTTTCTGAACTTTAAAATTAGGAGTGGTTTAGGGTAGTGTGTATGAGTCTAGAGCTCCACCTTCTGATAATTTTGTAAAAGAAGAAAGTTTTTTATTCTGGCTTTGTTCCTCTCTGCCATTTTCACTTTTTTTTTTTTTTTTTTTTTTTTTTTTTTTCTTTCCGAGGGTCTCTGTTGCCCAGGCTGGAGTGAGTGTAGTGGTGTGATCTCAACTCACTGTAACCTCCACCTCTCGGGTTCAAGTGATCCTTTCAGCTCAGTCTCCCCAGAAACTGGGACTACAGGTGCATGCCACCATGCCTGGCTAATTTTTGTATTTTTGGGTAGAGCTGGGGTTTCACCATGTTGGCCAAGCCGGTCTCAAACTTCTGACCTGAGGTGATCACTTGTCTCAGCCTTCCAGAGTGCTGGGATTACAGTTGTGAGCCACTGTGCCCGGCCTGTAGTTGTTGTTGTTGTTGTTGTTGTTGTGTTTAAGAGACAGAGTTCTGCCCTCTCACCCAGGCTTGAGTGAATGGTGTAGATATAGCTCACTGTAGTCTCAGACTTCTGGGCTCAAGTGACCTTCCTACCTCAGCCTTCTCAGTAGCTGGAATTACAGGTATACGCCACCATGCCCAGCTGATGTTTTTTATTTTTCTTGTAGAAACTGAGTCTTGCTGTGTTGCCCAGGCTGGTCTTGAACTCCTGACCTTAAGAAATTTTACTGTTTTGGCCTCCCAAAGTGTTGGGATTCCAGGCACAAGCCACTGTGGCTGGCCCTGCCTTACATTTTTATCTGAACGTCTTCTATCCTTTGTCTCAACTGTACTACTCAGTTTGGATTTTCTTCCCATTGTTTCTTCTTGATACGGGGCTTTTTCTAGAGGGGAGCTTTGCTTAGTTACTTTCAGGAACTCATAGGGCACAGACTATTCCAGCCCTTATTGCAGACCCAGTTTATTTGCCCACTGTTGAAATGTGCAAAACTCCTCTCAGTTTCAGCTGCCTTTCTCATATTGGCTGTCCTAGATTTCCATTAAGTCTTGTTAGCTGCTTTGGGGTTTTTAGGTCAGTCACATGTACTGTTGCTTCCTGCTGCACAGATTATGTTACCTTGAAGGTCTTATAGCTTGTTATCTTAGTTTTACATTATATAAATATGCATAATTTCTTTCGTCAGTCCCTTAATGAATATTTAGAATTCTCTTCTATTTTTCCTATATTAACAGGTCTGGGATAAACTTTTTTGTTTGTTTTTGTTTTTGTTTTTGAGATGGAGCCTCGCACTGTTGCCCAGGCTGGAGTGCAATGGTGTGATCTCAGCTCACCGCAACGTCCGCCTCCTGGGTTCAAGCGATTCTCCTGCCTAAGCCTCCCAAGTAGCTAGGACTACAGGCACGTGCCACCACGCCCAGCTAATTCTTTGTATTTTTAGTAGAGACGAGGTTTCACCATGTTAGCCAGGATGGTGTTGATCTCCTGACCTCCTGATCTGCCTGCCTCAGCCTCCCAAAGTGCTAGGATTATAGGCATGAGCCACTGCACCTGGCCTGGGATAAACATTTTTAGGGATAAACTTTTAAAATATTTGTGATTATTTCTTAAGACTAATTTTTAGAAGTTTTTGTAAATCAGAAAATATTCATCTTTTTTATGGCTTTTGATGCAAATTCCCAAACTGCCTTCTAGAATGCCTTTTAGAACTATACACTTCAGTCTTACAGTTCATTTTTAATCATTTTTTCCTTTATTTTCTTTATTTTTTTAAATTAATCAGTTTTTAAAAATATGGAATGCTTCTTGAATTTTCATGTTGTTCTTGCACAGAGGCCATGCAAATCTTCTCTATATTGTTCCAGTTTTAGTATATGCACTGCCAAAGTGACCACTTAATTATTCTTTTTATTTTTTTGAGGCCTAGCCTTGCTCTGTTGCCCAGGCTAGAGTGCAGTGGCGTGATCTTGGCTCACTGCACCCTCTGCCTCCCGGGTTCAAGTGATTCTCCTGCCTCAGCCTCCTGATTAGCTGGGATTACAGGCACCTGCCACTGTACCTGGCTAATTTTTGTATTTTTTGTAGAGATGTGGTTTCACCTTCTTGGCCAGGCTGGTCTTGAACTCCTGACCTCATGATCACCCGCCTTGGCCTCCCAAAGTGCTGAGATTACAGGTATGAGCCACCACGCCCAGCCTAATTATTCTTTTAATTGTACTAGTGACATTGGATGGCTTATAAACACAAAAAATATAGTCACCAATTCAGAATTTGGCCTCTAGACCACACCCTGTAACGTCCCTGGTTAAGACCCAGAAACTTAATAAAACAAGCTTTTGAGCTGCTAAAAGTTAATATCACGAAAGCTACAAATTAACACATGCACTGTGATTATAGGAGACTTTTCCAGTTCATACTCGGAAAATACAGTTTCCTTATTTTAATTACTTTGATTTCCATATCAGACTAAAAGAGGATATGGCATCTTTAATAGTTATATAGTGACAACTGTGAATGGTAGTGGCAAAGAAAAGGGAGAAATCAAACATGACTTGATTAGATGTGGCTTATCTTAGCTAAAAGTAACAAACTATTGGATAACAATGAAATTTCAAATTGTGCCAAAGAAGAAAAGACAACAGAAAAAATTTTTAAAGGTAATAAACTAGAAGTCAAATTTAAGGAATATAGATATTTTTTCTATCTCATGATTGACAGTGACTCTCTTACTATTGTTCTGTATTTAGTATTTTAAGTCATAGGTTCAGATACATTGTAACTAAACAATTTGGCTAATTTATGTGCGGTTAATGTTTTGTAAGAATTTTTTTTTCTTTTTTGAAAATCTGTGTTTGTTTAAAAACCAACATGGAGTGTCTGCTGGACATTTTATTTAATTTTATTTACTCTATTTTTTTGAGACTGGGTCTGTCTCTGTTGCCCAGCCTGGTGTACAGTGGCATGATCGTGGCTCACTGCAACCCCTGCTTCATGGACTCAAGCATCCTCACACCTTAGCCTCCCAAGTAGATGTGACTATAGGCACACCACCACACCCAGCTAGTCTTTGTATTTTTTGTAGAGATCAGGTTTCGCCATGTCGTCCAGGCTGGTCTGAAACTCCTGAGCTCAAGTATTACAGGCATAAGCTACCATGCCTGGCCATCTCTCTCTCTCTCTCTCTCTCTCTCTCTCTCTCTCTCTCTCTCTCT